TGAAATACAGGCGAATAAACGTCGGTTTGGAGTTCTTCTTAAACACAATATCCTTCTCGAGAAATACGTTTGGATTGGATTTGAGATAAAACCGAAGTACAAATTGTCTTAAACTGAAGTCAACGGTTCCCGCTTTGAGCAAATAATAACTGAATTACAATTCATATAAACTTTCGATTAAATTGTAAATACCTTTGATTTCAATTTTATGATTGATTGCCAAACAATTGGGCTCTTCGTCTGGTTTGGGAATTAATGTGAACTCAGAAGTGACTGCAGTTTTAGTGCTCTCTTTCTTTTCAAACACTTTGGCGTAAACGACACAATGTTTCACAAAAGTCACGTCATTTCCTCCCGAGTCCTTCAATACAACTCCCAATTCAAGTGTCGTTCCATTTATTACCGCAATATTCCCGTCGGAGAGCAAACATATTTCCGATGGATTTCCAAATTGCAAATCAATCTCTATTTGGACGGGCAGTTCAAATGATGGCAAACTTATGTCCAAAATAGGTTTCTTTTGCTAATAACAAATCATTATTAATGCAATCATTTTATTACAATCGATCGATAAATCTTACGTTTTGTGTAAGTTTTCCCGAAATGACAATATTTTTAATGACAAGCTCATCATCGGCTACCACCAGTTTCTCAAATTTCACTACAAATCCACTATAAGTGGTAACAAAATATAAAATTAGATACATTTTAAAAACAGAGGAAATGAAATTAGATTATACCGAATGCTAAGAATAGGAATGTGGGCATTGATGTGAGGAGTGACCACATTGTCACACTTGTCGTATAGTGTGAGCGACAAATCAAAAGGCTTTCCAATCATTGTCTTAACAGTAGTTTCGTTCACTTTGAAATCAATGGGTGGGCCGGCGATGACAGTGAACTCGATGCTTTCATCCTTAGGATATGAGTCACCATTGGCAAACTTGCCATGCACGGTCTCCTTTTTAGCATCGCTTACACACGCAAACACTAATCGAAATTTGCCGGTCTTTTGGAGACCATCTATACATTCAATCGTTAATAAGTTATCAATTTGTTTAAACATTTAGCCATAATTGACAATAACAATAATATAGTCATCATTACTAACCGCTTTGAGTGAACCAATAGTGCCAGTTCTTGTTGTATTCGGCGAATTCGGGGTACGATAACTCCACCGATGTTTCCCTTCCTAAACCATAAAACGACAAATTATTAAAAACTTTGGCCAAAAAATGTCACACAAAACAAACCCTCAATTCTGAGTATATCGGCCTGGATTTGCAACTTCTTGGTCGTTGCCTTTTGTGGTATTCTATCGGTCGTCAGATCTTCTCCGTTAGCGTTAATAAGTTTGATCTGAATGTCACCGATAGGTCTTCCGGCAACGATAGCATCGCCCGGATGTAAGGAAAATGCGTTCGGAAAACCGATTTGCATTTTGTGCGGCAATCTATGAAACAGTTTGTTATATTCGGTGGATATCTCTTCAGGTGTGGCGTCGGTATTGATTTTGGTAAAGCTAATTATTTTGGAGGCGTCGGAGTCCTTGCCATAGATTAGATCTGGGATTTGATATATTTCGACATAACCCGGACTTCCGATATAATCACCGCTGCATTTGACGGGAACCAGGAATTTGGTGATCACTCCCACAATATTGGCCGGCTTTGTCTTTCTGGTCAGAATTTGGTCGCCCTTTTTCCACTCCTTGTCCTTCCATACAATCCGATGAAATACAGAGAATGTCGCGCCTGTAGTCGACTTTCTAAGTGTAGACACTTCATTGCGGGGAATATCATCTGTAAAAGTAGACAAAAACAATGTATTTGTGAATAGAAACAATCACTAGCCCTACACTTACATTGATAATCCAAATACTGGACCTGTTTATCATACTTAAGGTGACAATTCTTAAGCCAAGACATAAAGAGGTTCTCGAAAGTGCCGCGAACTCGACGTCCATTACTATCGACCTTAAAGAAGGTGAGGCAGTCTTTTTTTGACATCAATTGACTCAAATCCATAAAACTTTGCTTGTTTTGCGAGACCTGATAATGAGAGTTCGTGAAGAGAGCGCCCGACAGGCGGTAATACGATTCTTCCATATCTTTGTCGACATGACTCGACTTTGGATTAAATTTATTCCACTCGAAGTCAATGCCGTCCTGAGGAATGAGCCTCCCGTGCCAGAAGCACTCAAACACTTCACGCCATTTACCACGCGGTTTCTGACCGTACGAGTCAATGCCATCTTCATCGCACAGATCAGATGTGACAATGGAAGCGGTGCCGCCCAAGTCATCATTAATGTCGAGCACTGGAAGCGTTTCCCTGTCGTGTTGGTAGGGATGGTAACGAATGATACCCTCAATGATGGCATCCTTCTTGTCGTAGTGTTCGACTTCGAACTCAAACGTGTCTTTCGCCGAACGAACCAATTGTGACTCGAAGTCGTCGTCAATGCTCTTCAACTGTGTGTTGTGCATGAGATGCGTCTGCACTGTATCTCCCGTTTTGTTCACCGAAAATCCCTTAATCATAATATCAATGCGTTTCCAATCGTCGGGAACAGACTCTTTGGCCCCAGTATTGCCTTTCGGGCCGTGAAGGTAGTAGTGATAGATTCGGGCCAAACCTTTCATCCAAAAATTGTTGTGCTCTTTGTTTTTCTTAAATTGTTTCGAGTGATCACTAAAGACATCTTTAATGCAACAAATGGTGAAACTCTTGAACTCGTTTTCGATCTCTTTAATGATAGCATCTTCGATGTAATCAGAAGTTCGCGGCTCTTCTGGCAGAGGTCTTGTCAAGCCTTTGGGTCTCTCAGACAACTGTTCCTTAAATACGGCGTCGGGATTGAACTTTGACTTCTCATCAAATCGGGCCACAGAGAGCGTCAGTTCGCAGATGGAATCGCTGGACGCAATCTTCGAGATCATAGTAGTTGCCTTTCCTATGTTGAAGATGGCCTGTTTGCCTCCCGCGCCGAAGAAGTTTATATCGCTGTCCAGAAAGCGGGGCTTCTGTTTGTCCGCCGGCAGACCTTTGTATGGACTTTGGTGTTGACTTAGGGGCAGATCCGCCGACGAGAAGACACCCGAATCAAGCGATGTGTTCATAGGCTCGGCGTCTGTGGACTCACTTTGACGGACAAACTTAGAGAACTTGAATTTAGCCCAATTCGTGAGGTCGTGAAGACTCATTCCGCACCCGTTGTCGATAATAACGACCATAGAGTCCGAGCCGTTGTCGTAGTGACGGATCTCAATGAGTCGAAGGCCTTTGTTGTCCTTCACGGCCGACAGCGAGTTGTCGATGAGCTCTGCCATCGCTATCACCACCGAATCGATGCCTCGGGAGGAGTAGTACTCATACATTCCCGACTGTGTAAATCAATGAGTCGAAGGCCTTTGTTGTCCTTCACGGCCGACAGCGAGTTGTCGATGAGCTCTGCCATCGCTATCACCACCGAATCGATGCCTCGGGAGGAGTAGTACTCATACATTCCCGACTGTGTAATCGTGTGATAGTGTGGCGCGATATTCACCTCGTGGTTGATAATGCCGGGCGCGGCAGCACTTGATATGATATAAATGTAAATTATAACAAAACAATACAAATAATAACAATGAATGTCATACTTGGCTCCTTTGATAATGAGTTCCATACCACTGGTGACCACTTCACTGTAGTTGAATTCATTGATTGTGGTATTGTCTTCGTTGTTCACACATAAGACAAAGTCTTTGTTCCCAAACTTCTCGGTGAAAAAGGCGTAAATATCCGCCCAATCGTCGGAAATCTGGCCAAATCTGTACGACTTTTTGGCACCGTTTGGCAGATTCGGTCGACAATCCCTTATAACTATATTGTACTTCATTTCCATATCATTCACTGCAATATCAATGCAAACAATCACTTCCAACACATTTTCAACTGTAATAACTAAATAGTAAAACACGAGTTCATTCATTAAACCACAATTCAATATACATTTCAAATGCAAATATAAAATGATTCAAATTTAATCACATTTTCAATCATTCAAAACAATACAAAGTCATTGAAAATTCAAAAACCAAACAAAAACTTTTAACACAAAAACAAGTGATAATTATATAGAAATAAAAGGCATTAAAAACATACCAGAGGTCCAAATGATGGGCAAAAGTGGGACCAAATGGGTGTATAACTGATCCAATGGGTGACAGACAAGTGTTGACAATATATGTGGCAAATAGTGGATCAAATGGCGATGGCTTTGGATGTCATCACTGTTTAATGCAATCAATGTTTGAGTCGTTTCAGTCGTTACACGCGTTGGTTGTCGTCATATCACACGTGACTCACAGTCGCAGCCAATCAGTGATCCGTTGTTTTCATTTCGTCACAAACTGTGTCTGGTTTTGGAGGCAAACGATTGATTCACAATCGATATCGATATGCATTAATGCGCGCATAGAGTGATCACGTGTTCACTAATATCAATATACCTGATCAACATTGATCAACAAACTTTAATTTATAGATTAAAGCACATCAACTATTTTTCATTTAAATGGACCGCATTATACAAATTGTACTCTACGTTAACATAATCTAAAGTTACTGTTACCTCAATTTTATTAAGTTTGTTCAGCTTGAAAGTGTATACAGCATCTAGGTCACTTTCACAGTATTTAATTATGGAATAGAATATTATATTACCGTTATACACAAGTTATTAAAATAAAATGAAGGTTAAATATCTCATAAATACCATATAATGATAAATAAGTAATACACAGCATATTTAGTATAATACCACCTGCCATCAAATTATATTTAATATTTTTAATTACCTATTTATAGTACATTTAACTATTTGCACATTTAATGCCATATTTTATGTATTAAAAAGTTTGTGTAAAAGAATATTCTTTTAAGAATAAGTCGAAAGTTTGCTTTTGTTAAAAGTATGCATTGATTGCAAAAGTTAGACCAAAATTGCTATAAATATTGATTTGCCGATGATTTGAGTGTCAATGATCTTAGATTTGCGATCCGTTTTAGTTGATCCTATGATCTGTAACTTCTAAATACATATCCAATACAATTGTGCCGATAATCACAGCGAACCAAATGCACATAAATGTGCGGCTCATTGTTTTAATGACCAATTATTCAGTATTGAGACAATAAAACACAATCAAAATCAATGCAATCAAATATATTGTCTTTCATTTCATTTATTTCTTTTACTGATTAAGTAATTGAGAGAATCGTATCGTTATATTGAATTGAATATCATGTCATTTATTTTGAGCTAATTTTAGATCTCATCTCTAATGCAATGTCGTTATTAAACAAGAAACTAATAACAGATTTTTGTTACATTTGTGATAAATATTTAAAAGTTAATTACTTTTTCATTTCATAATTTTTCAAAAATAATACTTAATGTAAATATTATATCAAAGAAAACTATTTTTCATCTCAACACTGAATTTTGAGAAGAAAATCAATGAAATGTTTACAAACTTATCCAATATTAAGCGCTATTCCTCTCGTATAAGGCTATGAGAATCGGAATCATATAATGTTGTGTTCAGTCTTTCAATGGTTTCTCTCATTAATTGTCAATCGATTTGTGATTATTATCGGAAATTTTGAAGAATTTTCAATTCAGATATGAATCTCAACTCAAATTACAGCCAAAGTCTTAATTTAATTCACACGTTAACTATAATTCTCGTTATCCATTGTTTTTGTTATACAAAAGGAGACAAATTAGTAAAATGTGATTTCCAGAAATACCCGACCGTCGGGTGCCGTAACTCAGATACTCAGGAATGTGACAAAAAGAGCCAAATCTGTAAATGTGGTCCAAAATATCCCATTAAGCTATTAAATGGTATATGTCTTCAACACAAAGCCATCAACCAGTCTTGTATGGGATCCGTTGAATGCAATCACATCCCAAACGCCGGATGTTTTGGTTTGGAAACTGAATTCAAAGACGACTTCTGGATATTGTTATGGTATAGGTTTGGTTTCAAAGATCCGGGTAAATGTGACTGCGATTACAATAATAATTACGAGTACAACGAGGACTTAAAGGCCTGTATCCGTAAAGTCATAATCGGGTCGCGATGTGGGACGGGTCGGGACTGTTACACCAAATTCTCCAACAGTATATGCGGTCAATACCAGACGTGTCAGTGCAGAGATGGCTATTATTACGATTCCCATTCAGACTCATGTAAATCGCAACTCTATTACGACCAGAGCTGCACAACAGCCGATGGCTGCGGAGACTCGGCGTTGGAGTGCGTGAAGAATGTGTGCAAATGTAAGCCTGGCTTTCATTACGATAAATACAAGACTTATAAATGCGAACCAAATGAAGGGCCCGACTGTTCGGACAGCGAAGGACTCGCCGATTGTCTTAAGCGAAGCATTCAAATGATGAAATCGGATTCCAGGAGGAATAAATTTGATTTGATAGAACCGCCCAGAATTTACTCCATTTTCGTGATTCTGGCCTTTTGGATCTGTTTGCTCTTCATTCTGGGAAACGCCAAACGGGGTCTTCGGCTCATGGAGTTAGCCATTAGACGAGATCAGGCGTCGCAATACATACAGTGCGACACATATGTGGCCCAAGAGATGATTGAATCCGAAGACCAAGAGCTTGGATCGTCTCAATTGTCACTTCAGTCCGATATGAGCGCAGCAATCAATCAGAGTTATCCCCCGCCGGCATTTGATGAGCTTTTCCCCAATGATTGTCACCAGACATATAGCGATGACCCGCCGCCGTATGAAGAGGTCGTCCAATTGGATAAACACAAGAATTTTGTCGTTTAATTCAATCATTAAGACGGATGGACTGAGAAAGTGGTGATAAGACATCGAATACATGTATTTGTAATTTAATTTAAAAGTACACTTTATTTTGTCTTTTGATTCTTTCCAAAGAACATCCAATCTATCATTTTTTGTATAGTCTGTCAAATACCTGAAGCAATAAAAAAAAACATTTGTCTTTTGTTTATTTTATTATTAAATTATAGTAAAACTCATTTATTTAACTCTAATATCTACAAAATATGCCACAAAAATATATATAACAACAATAATATACAATATTTTCAATTTACTTCTTCAATATTATAGGGAACTAATGTATTGAATAAGAAATTTATTAAGAATTTAATGGAAAACCACGAATAAGTTATTTGTGCAATAAATTTGACTTTTTATTTCTCTGTCAGAAGACATTTGTGGGGAAAAAATTGCTTTCAAAGAAGAAAAAACAGAAATATATTTATGATAAATATCAATGAAAGAATCTTTACGATGAGGAATATTCTGATATATATTCTTTATATTATATTAACTTTTATATTAATAGTAAGTCTTATTATACGTTTGTAAGGCCGCTGTATCTCTCTGTACAGTACACTAAATTCAATGCATTTCAAACACGAATAACTGGAGTCTTGATATGAAGTCAATGCTATATAATAATCATATTTAAAATTCAATTGCTTTGTACTTATATTAGACATTAACTTATGTTTGACTATGAGTTTGGTTATGATTCTGAACGAGTAATGAGAGTGTGGATGCAATCCATAATGATATATGGATTACACTGTATATGATGTACGAGACAATGAAAATCAATAATCTATGCTTTCAATTATAAAGTCTATGGTTTAACTGAGTTCACAGAATCCACAGAATATCAGACTATTTATTACGCTTGCATTCACACAAAATGACAAAAATATTTAGCATTATTATGCATTATATCTCTTACCATATTATATAACATTATATCACAATAATGTGTATCACGTCTGAACAGTAGACGCATTTCCATAGCTGTGTATGAATTGCGAGTAGTATTGGTATTACAGATGAATTCTTCTTTCAATCTCTTTTCTATCCTAAAGGTTAATGTTATGCAATTCATAGCAAAATAGTTTGAAAAAACTTATAATTTTATCGATTTTCCTCCGCTTGTGAATGCAATACTCGATTCATATCTCGCCAGTGAGTTATGAATAGTATTTTTTGCCGAATATATTTGTTATACAACTGAATATCACTTTTTTCAACAAAAAATATAAAATATTTCACTCCTTAATGCCTTCATTTAATGGCATTTTTCAATCTGTGTATGAATTGTCGAATCGATTCTTTGGATTCTCTGTTGCCTTTTGTTTCTGAATCTAATGATGTCTTTAGGATTATGTTTATGTATGTAATGCGTGTTTCTGATGGCAAATCAAATGAATACCAATTTAATCAGAGAAACAATTGATTTTTCAAATAAAATAAATAATTGTAACGAAAAATAAAATGAAATTTGGGATAATTTTGGTCTTAGGATTAGAAATATTTGTGGAAATCTTGCGGTTCTTTCAGTCATTTATTGGGCCGGTATTGCAGACAACAATCATTTTCAAGTCATTAAACCGTCTTTTTGGACATTAAGAGATAAAATGAGTAATCATTTAGGAATCATATCATCCATTCAATGCTCTCTCACTCGCTATTGCTGTAGATCTCTATCTAAAGGTATTTGTCTTTCGGAGGCGACACTAAAACCGACGATTAATACATAGATATTATATATAACTCATTGAGAAGAAAGAAATCTGAAGACAAAATGATTTGTTGAGCAATAAGTTCTTAATTGCAAAAGCATTTCATCTCATAATTCTTGAAGAAACACAAATCCACTGTTATTTCACTTCACAGAGAAAAACATCTTTTTCTGGAGAAGAATGAGAGATAAAAACAAATGCAAATCGAAAAACAAATCTATTTAAAGACTGTTTATTATTGAGTTTTAAGTTTAATGTATAAAGATTTATAAAATTCACTCATATGTTAAATGTTTTTAAGATATTTAGTTTACTTTTTGTGTTTTGATGTCATTTGCCCTTTACTTTAAGTAGCGATCCTTGAAATCAAATAATTGTTTTTTGTTAGTTTTGTTTCAAATCTATTTGGGAAATGAAGATG